TAGATAATGTATGACCTCCTTTAACTTCACACGGTTCACCGTTACATGATCAAGATCTTCCTTAGTATTACAACCCATTGGAAAATCAAACTCCTCTTGAATTCTTCTATGAAACAGAAAATGGAATGTAGGAATTGCATTGTTGAGTATTCGCCTCCAGAATACTTCCACCCGGGGTCTAAGTTTAACAATTTTGAAGCATTCCCAATAAGAACAACAGCTATGATCCTGAACCAAAGCCTTACATGCAAGAGCTGAAATAGAAATCCCAGATTTTTGATTGATAAGCTCCAGATAATCTGCTTCCTTATCCAGCTGAATTTTAATTTCACAAATTAAAGAAATCGGGTCTTCTCCAAAGAGAGCTTTTAACTCATCTAAACTCCATTTACCATCCACTATGAGCTTATCCACTTTTAAATTTTCATTTTCAGAAATAGCCACAAAAGTAGGCCATTTATTCAAACTTTTATCTAAGATCCAAATATCATTATAAATATCAATAGAACAACCATTAGCAATGTTCCATCTTACAACTGGTTCCAAAAATTTCTTTTCATTGGCTAGGATTTTACAAGATTAAGAACTCCCCCTTCTACAACCATTTTCTTGTCCGGCCAAACCCTTCATATCCACTCTTTGCTAGTTTCGGTATTTGAGGTTACAAGGGCATTTGAAATTTCATACGCTTCCTCCACACATGAGGCAACTCCACTACTTTCTTTGTCTTGATGTTTTGTTCTTCAATTTCGAGCATTGCCTTTTGAAGTGACCATCCTTATGACAAAAGAAGCACTTCATCTTGCCTTTAGACTTAGATCTAGCATGGTTCTTAGCTTTGGACTCCCTCTTTTGGGTCTACCTCTCAAGGCAATGGCATCAAGCCATCAACCGCCCCATCATGCTTCACTCTAACTCCTCACTCCCTTTGAATCTCTTTGGAGTTTAGTGCAGCTTTGAATTCGTCCATAACAAGAGTCTCCTTCCCATATAATAAGTTGTCCACAAAATGCTTAAACCTAGGAGGTAATGAGCTTAGTAGAATTACTGCTTCATCTTCTTCTTCAAACTTCACTCCTATGCTTTTCAAATCCAAGATAATCTGGTTGAATTCATGCAATTGCTTATTCAATTGTTTGGAATCATCCATTTGCAAGGTGTATAACTTTTTTCTTGAGGTAAAGCCTATTGGCTAGAGAGCTTTTGAGATGTAGAGATCCCAATTTTTTCCAAATCTCTATAGCCGTTCCTTCATCAGCAACCTACCTTAGAACTTCATCTTCTTGGCACAAAAGAATTGCACTATATGCCTTATTAAGTACATCCCTGCGCAATCTTTCTTCTATCCTCAAAATCCCTTCCTCCGATGGAGCTGCATCAAGACCTTGATGGACTCATCTTCAACCTCCATAGCCTAAAATCATTGAGACTAGTGAATTTCTCAGTTTCATGCTTAGCCATGGACATCCTTCCTTCAAGAATGCTTCAGCAACCCTTAAATCTAGCTGCTGTCCACAGAAATAAGCTCAGAAAAGCTTCCACCGCCGGTCACCTGCTTACCTTCACTTGCTGTCCACAAAAAACAGCCTAGGAAAGGCTTCCTTCGCCGGTCACCTACTTTCTTCCACCTACTGTCCACAAAAAAAAGCCTGCTATCCACAGAAAAACAGCCAAGAAAAGCTTCTATTCCACCTGCTGTCAAAAAAGAACAGCCCAGGAAAAGCTTCCACTGCCGATGACCTGCTTTCCTCTACCTACCGTCAACAAAGAACAACCCAAGAAAGGCTTACACTGCCGGTCACCTTTCCTCCACTTGCTGTCCAGAAAAACAGTCTGCTGTCCACAGACAAAGGGCCAAGAAAAGCTTCTCCTCCACCCGCTGTCCACAAAGACTAGTCAAGAAACTTCACCTCTTTGCTGGAATTTCCTCTTTTTGATTTTAATAAACTCCTTCCTCCTTCCCCCTGCTGTCCACAAAGACTAGTCAAGAAACTCCACCTCTTGGCTGGAATTTCCACTTTTTGATTTCAATAAACTCCTTCCTCCTTCTCCTTGATCTTTCTTGACCAAGCTTTGATACCACTTGTTGAAAAACAAACCTAGAAAGAGGAGATCTTGAAGTCCTGCACCTTTGTCCTGCAACAACTTCCTCCTTAACTGCACCTTGCACTTGCACTGCCGGCTCCACCTGCAGCTGCACCTCCATCTGAGGTCTCCACTGCCTGGACCCGCCGGCCAACAGCTATCTGCTGTTTCCACCACTGGCTTGTTTCTCTGACTTGACTGAGAGAGAGACAGCAGCTCTGTTGCTTCCACAGAGAGAGGGAGAGAACTCACAGATTGTAAAAAGAAAACTAAACTGATTTATAATTCATCTTCTCTCATATGTGTAAACAATACAAGTCACCTTTATTTATACTAAAATAACCTAAGTGGGCCAAAAAGTAAAATCGCCTGAAGATTAAAAATAAAAACAGAATTAATATTTCAAATAATAACCAACATCTAACAAACTGGGCGGTGGACTTGAGCAGAACAGTGCTCGGTCGCTGTAGGAATGAACATAGGTGGATAGTTCCTGCGGCTGGAAGGTAAGGGACAGCAGATCGGTGGCCTGGAAAAAGCTTGAAAGCAGTTCTGGGGCCTGGGAAGGACTGGACAGCAGATTTCTTCATATTTTGATGGAGAGAGCAAAGAGAGGAACCAAGGAGCGGAGCAGCCTAACTTGGCATGCATTTGATAATTTTTTTTATATGAGGGTTAGCCGAGCAAGCCAACCCTAGAAGATCCATAAATTATGTCGGCCATATGTCTTGATAACCATACAGCGCCCATCAATTAAAAGATGTGCGTGGCATACATAGCCAACCGACCCTTTTTTGGCATTTGATAATTTATTTGAGAAAGTTGATAGAGTCAATAGTTAATATTATCTTCAATATTGTTGTGCTCCTCCCTGTTATAAACATCATGTTTGAAACTTAAGCTCCATACGCATCCTACCATATTTTTCCCGCTGTTTTTACCAGTTGGACTTCTAAATTCTTCAGTCTGCAGGTTTTTACTATTTTAAGTATGCAACATGTGTTCAACATGTTAGCCTGACAAACGATAACATAGAACCAATGTTTTCTTCCTTCCTTTCTGCATCATTTTTTTAAATAACTTGAAGCATTCATATTGGGCCCCACTTTCTTGGATCAACTCCTCTCAGTTTGAATTTACTTATATGTAGTTTTGATGACATTTCCCGTTCATAATCTCTTCGAGGAACAATGGAAGCCTTGAATGCCAAAGCTGCAGGTCCTCCTAAACGCCGTGCGTGTCACTAAAATTTTGTTTATAGAACAAATTTAGCACGAACTTTTTTTTTGTAGTTTGTAAGTTTGAAATTTAAAATCTCCCATGATGTCTACTCTCCCTTTCTATCAATCTCTCCACACAGTTCTATAAACCTTTTTTTTTTGTAGCTCATGTTTGGATTTGTTTTTTTTTTTTTTTTTTTTCATTTTGTTTTTGTTTGTTCCACTTATTTCCTTGTTTTGGGAAGCTGAAATTGAAGCTATTTCTGGGAATGAAAGACAAAAAACAAAATTAGTTATTTAAGCCCCAATTATCTATTTGAGCATGTCATTATAATAATCATTAATTAACTGTTAATTTCTAATATAAAATTGTTTTTTAACTAGTTAATATTAAATTTAATTGGATAATATTAAATTTAATTGGACATAAATTTTAAGTAATATTTTAAAATCTTAACGATCTTAGTCCAATCACTAATTAAATAGTTAAATATCAATTATTCTGACTAATTTATCAATTAGTTAAATTTATTTAGCCATATTATGATTAATCAGTAAATACTTAAAGATCACAAATTCAGTTAAATAGAATATCCAATTTTCTTAATGAATAATTAAATGAATATTTCCAAATCTTAATGATCTTGGTTAAATAATATTTAATTCCAAATTAATTATAATATGTATTTTGATTCCAAGTAATATGCTTAATTATTTATAACTTGCTTAATTTTCATAATTAAAATTCTATTAAGATTTTAATGTTCTTAATAAATTCTTAATTAATCTTCTATTAGGCTGGATAAATAGTTAGCTTCTAAATATTTTTGGTTAATTCTTTATAAATTAAAAATTACTTTAATCTCTAATTTGCCTAAATAATTTTCATTAATATGTCATTAATCTCTGATATTGTTAATTAAATAGTTGAGTATCAATTATTCTAACTAATTTATCAATTAATTAATCATATATATATATTTTTAAATTAATTAATAATTACAATCTTTATTGCTGTAGTCTGTAATTTCCCTTTATAAGTCATTAATTTTTAATGCCTATACTAGTCAATTGTCCTAAGTTAAAATACGTTGTTAAATAATAATAGAATTCAAATAATCTTAATTAATATGTAATTAATCTATAATTGTCTTAATTAACTAGTTAAGTATCAATTATTTGATTAATTAATCATTTAGTTAATCTATTTGTGCCAAACTTATGATTATACTATGCAGAACTTAATTATCTTAATTAAATTTTTAATTAACCTTTAATAATAATAATTTAATTAATTATGTTTAAATTAATTAATTATACTTTAGTTAATTATCAAATTAAATGCTTATAAAACCATTTATCTTAGTTATAATATTAATTAATCCTTAATTGGGCTTATTAATTTTTTCATTTGCATAATTAATATCCAATAACCTCAATTAATTTATTTAATTGAAATAATTACTTTGTCATGTTTCCGAAATATGTGATTCACAATTTCAGGAATCTAGTCATTTTGTTTCCTAACAAAAGAAATGAAAATATGGCTATCAAACATATTTTTTATACCTTGAACTTTCCATCCTGTTCTCTTTTTCATTGGACATGCTCTTATTTTAATGTGACCATATGGTTGATGGCTTGTAAGAAACGTTTTGCCTATCTCTTCTAAGTTAAATTTCTTTAAAAATGCAGAACCTGGACTTCAAATTTCCTCTTACGGTGTCATGTGTTCACTTCATATGCTCTGCTGTTGGTGCATATATTGCTATAAGGGTTCTTAAGGTCAAGCCACTTATCCAAGTTGATCCTGAAGATAGATGGAAAAGAATTTTTCCTATGTCATTTGTGTTCTGTATAAACATTGTTTTGGGGAATGTAAGCCTGCGATATATTCCAGTTTCTTTCATGCAGACAATAAAATCATTTACTCCTGCTACAACAGGTTGTTTTGACACGTGTTCTCTTGCAGTTTTATTTCTTTTGCATTTTATTTTTTAGAAATATTGCATTCTTCTGCTGCCAATTCTTTCTAAATCATGATTTTCTTGGGCAGTTATTTTGCAGTGGTTGATATGGAGGAAGTACTTTGAATGGCGCATATGGACTTCTTTGATTCCTATTGTTGGGGGAATTCTTTTAACATCTGTAACAGAGCTCAGCTTCAATATTTTTGGATTTTGTGCTGCCATGTTTGGTTGCTTGGCTACTTCCACAAAGACAATTCTTGCGGAGTCCCTACTTCATGGATATAAGTTTGATAGGTAGTAAACCTTGACCAATTGCGTTTATTTTCTTTGTGAAACGTTTATTGCTTTTTTTGTGTATAACATGGTTTGCATGATAGTTTACCCATCATATTTTTTGTTGAATATTTTGAGGAAAATTTTGTTATTTTCATGATCTCTCAGGCCATCTATTTACAGGATTCTATCTTTTGTAGTTGTAGCTCTAAAACATATAGTTGAATCCGTCAGACCATGGATGGAAGTTGACTAATCTATATGAATAATGTAAAATCACTGTGTTCCATTCACTTCTTGGGAGTTTTTTTGTTTATTTTTTCATTTTCTTTCTTAAGAATGTGTATAGGTCCTTATAGAGGAATAATTAAAAATGGTGGAGGCGGAAGATGGAAAAGTCAAGATTGATAAATTTGATGGATTTGATTTTGATTTATGGAGTATGCAAATCTGAGATTAATGGCATTTGGAGAAGTATCATTAATCTCCTCAAGATAAGAAACTATAATCTTTATCAAATGAGGATAAGGGAGATCTTTGATGGATAAGCCCTCGTTGGCATTATTTGACTATTGTAAGGATCCTTCCAATATTAGAAATAAAAAGACAACAGGGCTGATGAAGATGCTATTATGTGCAAGAAATCTTCTCCTTCAAAATATTTGATGAGATTTTATAATTTGATGATAAATAAGGGGGATTTTGGTATATATTACGTAAATGAGATGAACTTAATTGCAAACCAACGAAGTTCTATAGAGATTGATTTATGATGATTATAACACTATGAAGTAGTTCAACACATGGCACCAACTCGATGGGTAAACCTTAGATCAAGCCTTTTTAGATTCTTAATTAGGTTATTTTAGACATTTAGATGACAAATGGATATGTGGAAGATCTCAATCTTCATCTCTTTATGCTAAATGATCAATACTATGAAAAAATTGGTAAATGGTTTTTATTGGAGCCCAAAATCAATTTTTGAGATTTGATTTAAGCTTAATTTAAATTATGATAATAACTAGAAAGTTTATGTCTATGTTTTTGATGCCATACTAGACATTTTATGCTTAATCATTTTGACAATAAAAGCGACATAATTATTTATAATTTTGCTTTATTATTGTTTTGTCATTCTTAATATTATGCTTAGATTGTTATCTTAATTTTAATGTATGATGTATAAATTATAATGCCGTATCCACGCCATACCCGTATTCTATATTATCAATAACTGTCGTGTCCCATTTCCGTGTTGTGTCATGTTTGTGTCACCGTGTTCGTATCAGTGCAACATAGATGAAAACTTTCATGGAGAGGTTCCTAGAGAGTGTTGCTCCTCTTTGGTTTATTAAGTTTCTTCAGACAAAGGCTACGAGATTTTTAGATTTATTGACTGATACTTAATTATGGGGATGTTTAAGAGTTTAAAATTTCAAGGGTTGTTGGAGTAGCGGTGGAGATGGAAGGTTAGATTGGTGAGGACTAGAATAATCTATAAACTTAGATTTAAAAGCTCTAGTGTTTTGTTTTTCAATCAACAAAAAAAAAAATCTCCTTGAAGAGTTGAGAATCCATAATTTTTATCTCATTTCATATATTAGATTAGCAAATTGTGTTGGTAAGTTGTCGATCATTGATATAAGATTCTCAGATGTATTTAGATGCTAATTGCATTCGTACTTCTTTCCCTAAGAGAAATTAATTGGTTGTGAAGAACTTTTTTTATGGAGCTCGGGATAATGTTTTGTGTTGTTTCTCTCATCTTTATCCAAATAAGAACATGCCTTCTGATTCTTTCTTGCTTTTCTAATATTGTGTTACGATAGATCTTAACATGACTTAATAGTTGCGCTATGGCCAATTTGGTTCTTTAGAAGTTGGTCATTCCATTCCATTCAAAAAATTATTTATTTATCAAAGCTAATCTTAAAATGTATTAAGGTTATGGACTCTATAAAAAGTATTGTCGTTGATAGGGCTTAAGCTCATGATGAAAAAAGTGGAGAGTTGTATTAGATAGTTGACAAGCAACATAAAACTTATTGAATAATCATGACATAAATTTTTTAGTATATTGTGTAAATGATAAGGCATTCCTTGAAAGCTATGAACTGCATGGTCAAAATATAGCTAGAAATGTGCAAGGGCTGTTGCACTGACTCTTGGGTGTAATGTTAAATAAGGGTTCCCACATCATAAACGGATGCGAGCAAAGAATCTAGTCTATAAAGCAAAAATTAGGACATGAACCTTGAATATAGGTTCTTTTGCAGGAAAATCAATGAATTAATAGATATTATGATTCATAGGAAGATAAGAATTTTATGTATTCAGGAAATTAAATGAGTTCTAGAGAATGCTGAAGAGATTGATAGTTTAGGACTTCAAATATGGTATTCAGGTTATAGTCATATTAGAAATAATGTATGTGTGATTATATATAAGTGTTTGAAGAATAATGTTGTAAAAATTAATTAACTTGGAGATATAATTATAACTTTAAAAATTGTTGTTGATACTATGATTATTAATATTATAATTGCTGATACTCTTTAAGCATGTTTGGATATATATTCAAAATAAAAAATTTGGAATAATTTTGAAGGACTAATATAAAGGACCACTTGAAAAAAGAATTTTTATTGGAGTAGATTTAAATGAATAGGTTGGTATAGTGGTGGAAGATTTTAAGAACATTCATAGTGGTTTTGAGTTTGGAGCATCTAATGGAGGTGGTATGACTATATTAGATTTTGCTTTAGCATATGATTTTGTAATTGCTGATATATTATTTAAGAAAAAAGAGAAACATCTCATCACTTATAAGAATTGATATATTAAAACTCAGACTGATTATTTTTTATAAGAAAAACAGATCATTTAGATTATAAAATTATTCCAAGTGAAAGTTTATGTACCCAACAATACTTGTTAGTTTTGGACTTTAAGATGAAGGGTTAGAATATGAAAAATAAAATAACATGTTGTCTTAGGATTATATGAGGGCATTTAAAGAACACCAATACAAATATTTTTGAGTAAGATTCAATATCTGAAGATTTTGACTATTCATATGAAGCAAATGCTATGTGGTAAAAAGTAGCCAGTGATATTAATAATAACGCAAAGGTGCGTTTGGGGTATTAAAATGAAAGAATAGTTGATGGTCGAATCAAAATGTACAAGATTAGATAAAAAAAGAAGTTTTGTTATAAAAATTGGTTTAGATGTAAAAGCTTGAAAAATTGAGAAAAATATAAAGGGGGGCCCGTAAGGAGTCTAAGAAAATAACATTTGATGCAAAGAATTTAATTTTTAATGATTTATTCAATAAGGAGGGTGAAAGATGATGCACAAGTTAGCTAAGCAAAGAGATAGTGGAAGTAAGGATTTTGTTCAAGTGAAGTGCATTAGGATGAAGATAAAAAAATATTTTTATTAGAAGAGGATATTTAACAATGATGGATGAGATATTTTGATAAGTATTTTAATGAAGATTATGAGAATAAAATTGAATTTAGTGACCTTAGTATCGTAAATGAAAATAATTTTTTTTTTCGTTTTTAACATTGTATTAGTAAAACCAAAGTTAGAGAAACTTTCAAGAAAATTAAGTGTGGAAAAGATGTTGAACTTGATGATATTTCAATAGAGGTGTGGAATTGCTTAGGAGATGAAGGAATTTTTTGGCTTACGAAAAATTTCAATATTATTTTGAAGATTAAAACGATGATGCCAGATGAGTGGAGGAGTGTGTTGATTCATATTTTTAAGAATAAAAATGATACACTAGAGTGTGCAAATTATAGAGGAATTAAACTAATGTTTTATATATTAGAATTGTGTGAGAGAGAGTTATTGAGCATAGGTTATGATGTAATATAAAATTTCCTCATATGATTCATGCTGGGTAGGTCTACTACGGAAGCTATACATTTATTGAGAGGGTTGATGGATAGGTATAGAAAGAATGAGGATCTATATATGATATTTATTAATTTAGAGAAACCATATGATAAAATTTCAAGATAAATGCTTTGGAGAGTTTTAGAAAAGAACGGAGCTAATAATGCTTATATTTAAGTCTTTAAGGATCTGTAGTGATGGATGCCCTATTTTGCATAATTGACTCGTCTTCGACCGAGAGGGTATTTGAGGTTCTAAAGGTGAATGATAAGCAAATCTCTTACTTGTTATATACTGATGATTTTCTTATTCTTGGAAAAGAAAATGTGCAAAATGGTTCTTCATTAAGTAGCATCATTACCACTTTTTCTAATATTTCTTGTTTACAAATCAATCACACCAAAAGGCATACCATTTTATCATCAAACAATTATGCTGAGGATATATGTGAGGCCCTTAATGTTCAGCTCACGGGTAACAAGATGACCTATCTTGACATTCCTATTTCTATCAAAAGGGCACATATATTTGACTTTTACCCTCTCATGCAAAAAATTATCAATCATCTTGAAGGTTGGAAGGCTAAGCTCCTTTTCCTTTGTGGAAAGATTGCAATTCATGAGATTTATCATGTGGAATAATATTGCATCTTGGATAAGAGACTCTATAATACCCAAAGCTTGTTGCAAATTCATATCTTATTTAAGAAATGAGATGAACATCTCATGAATTGTTAGAATGTATATTCTAAAACTATGATTAGTTTTTTTCTTATAAGAAAAATAGATCGTTTAGATTGCAAAGATTGTAAAGTTTTTTTGAGTGTAAGTTTATATAACCAACATCGTTTATTGGTTTTAGATTTTAAGATGAAGGTATATAAAATAAAAAAAATATAGCTTATTTTAGGATTAGATGGGTGCATTTAAAGAATATTAAGAAATTATTAATCACACGTGTCGGAGGAGTGTCGGACGAGTGTCGTGTCGGATATGGTGTTGGACACTGCACGCCTCTTTGAGGAGAAGTGTCGGTGCATCATAGATAAATTATGATCATACAACATTTATGGAGGAGGCCATGCATTGAACCAAATCAATGTCTTTCTT